CTCATCGACTACTACTCAAAATGGATCGAGGTGGGCTTCTGTGTCGAGCCCAGCACGGAGGCAGCGGTCCAATTTCTGGAGACACTGGCCTCTCGGGAGGGCTACCCGAGAGAGCTCGTATCGGATAACGGGAGCCATTTCAGCTCAGATGAGTTCGAAGCCTACCTGCGGAGCATGGGGACGCACCACATCCACGTCACGCCCTATCACCCGGCCGGGTCAGGGACGGTGGAGCGGGCCAATCGGACGGTGAAGGCGGCACTCGAGGCGGCGGACAAGAGCGGCGAGGGGAGACCGCGGTATTTGCAAAATTGTTTGCAACAATACCGCAGCACGCCGCATGCAACGGCCGGAGTCAGCCCGTCCGAGCTGCTGCACGGTCGGCGGCTGCGGACAAAGCTGCACGCCACAGCTCTGAAAACGGAAGAGCAGGCCGTGTCGGAGTCAGAAGTGCAGAGACGGGTGGAGAACCGCCAGGCCTATCAAAAGGCATGCGCCGACGGACGGCGCGGGGCGCGCACGCCGCCATTCGACGTAGGGGACCAGGTGAGGGTCTGGCGAATGTCCCGGCCCCGTAAGGGGCGCCCACGCCTCTCTGAGCCACTCCGGATCGAGGCCCGCCTGGAACCGGTGAGCTACCGCCTGGAAGACGGCACTCGAGTGCACGGTGAACGGCTGGTGGCGGCGCCGGCAGATCGCCCACAACGTGAGGAGCCTGGCGCGGCTGCACCGCTGCGGCCGCGACCGGCAACGGCAGACTACGCCAGACCGACTACGCCAGCACCCGAGTCGGACGGCTCGGTGGACCTGGACGCTGATCGACCGGCATCCGAGGCGGAGCAGTCCGAGGGGACGTCGGAGGCGGACCCGTCCAAGGAGACGCCTTCAGCGCACCAGCCAGCGACGACAGCTGCGGGCCGTCTGGTCCGAGTGCTGGTGGCGATCGAGCGTCAGGTGGCGCTAGTGGTCAGCGGCCAGAGGGCGGAGATGTACGCGGGGAGTCCAGCGGCGCTGTGCGTCGGAGTAACCGGAAAAGGAAACCGCGTGAGAGGTTAATTGAAATTATGTAAGGGACGACGTTTTTTCAATGGGAGGAGGAATGTGGTATATGGCAGTTGTTTAGGGAGCATACGCGCCAGGCAAGTGGCAGTTGCGCGGGAGCGTTGGCCTTGGCAAGGTGGCGCGTGGCGGGGGCGCGACGTGTTTGGACGCATTGGAATTTATATTATCGCTTTGTTATTACCGAGGTATTGGGAAAATACTCATGGTAACACCTGACTCAGTGTTTGGTCGGGCTGTGGGAGCGGACGATACTACAGTAATGTTAAAAGTGCAGGTTTCTCTCCATGATTTTAATGCAAGGCGGCGTTGGGCCGTTAGTTGCAGGGAGTTGAGTGCTTCGCCTGCTGTCTTGCGCTATGCTTGATTGTGCGTGTTGTGTATCTAAAGCTGCATTTTTGAAGACATGTATGAACCTGGTGGTACAAAATATACCACATTATTGTTATTATGTATTGTAAAGCCGATGCATCCCTTCAATTAATCCTGACATAGCTCAGATAACTAGCCTCTTTTTCTTGCTTGAAATCATTTTGAGGCATGAAATATGAGCATGACAAATGACAGTAAACATTGTAATGCTCTGAATGTTTATGGATAGGATTGGGTTGCAATCTCATCTGATCACATATTATGGTTGTTTTAGGGACTGAATCCCATGTCACATCAATTTTTCATCCTTACATCATCTTCCTTAGGCATATGAGTGCACATAAGCACCTTATATGATGGATATATCATTTCCATGGAAGTGATCAGATGACATTTTATGCAGCTGTTCCATTGCATGCTTTGAAGTCCAGGCTTCATTGATTGCTGTATGAGTCCAATTATATCAAAGGTATCATAAAGGCTAGCTTTTCCCTCAAAAGCTGATAACTACAGCACTCTACTTTTTTGCTTAGATATGCCAGGGACCCACAATGAAATTATCAGACAGGTACCCAAGAGGGCGGCATGGAAAGAGAGAGTCCTTACAGTGAGAAGAACTGTCAGAAGACTGTGTTGCTGTGAATAGATATTGGACATGCATTGGTGCCCCAAGTCACCAATAGTGAGAACTGTGCATGCTGTGCAGAAAAAAGATGCTGTGACGAGGTCTTTTACTATGTCCCTTTGTCACTGATGTTTAGAATAAGGACACTGTATGGCTGTTCCTGGTCTTGAGAAAATTATGCTGTATTGTGTTATTCATGCATAAATAAAGGTGAGGTGTGCAGTAGGCATTATCTTTTCTTACAAAAAAGTTTGCTTTTCTCTACTGCTGACAAATTGAAATTTGTATGTCTCTGAAAATTATGAAATCTGCATTTCAAACAAGACATGAGCAGAGTGATAGCTTTTTATGCAGCAGGTTCAAAATCAATTTCCTTACCTGCACATGGCTATTGAATGCCTTTCAAAGGTCATAGTAAGTTGTAACAAACAACAGGTTTTGATCTCTTCAGGCACTATGATGACCTGATGCAAGATCATAAGTGATTATATTGGATTCCTGCGGGGTAAGCAATCCGGAAACATGCATGATATGACTAGCATACTGTGTGTCATGTTGGCCTCGCATGACCTCATCTTGACATCCTACCTACATCTTGACTATGTAATGACCAGCAAAAAAAATTGTAGCTGACGTTTAAGCTGCATAACGCGATCAAAATGAACGTGAAAATATTTTGAATCATAGATCGCATGAATACAGCAAATTATCACGGTAACCTATGGAATGACCTCGGCCTGACCCCATTGTGGCATCGATATGTTCGTGACACAGCATCCTCATTTAGCCAAAGAGCGTACACTTTTTGAGGAAATGAAACCCTCTAATTGACCCAGCCCCGGCAAACATGTAACGGGGGTGTGCAGGCCTTTGCCCTGACCTTGACCTTTCATGTGGGCATGATTTCTGATTGCGGTTTCTTTAAGATGCACCCATTGACTTTCCGTTTGCATATATATTTCCAACTTGGCAATTAATTCCCAAAAACGCTTTGTGAGAGTCTTGTCTCCCGGCTTTCCACCCCGGGGTGCTCGGCTGGGAAGCCAGCTAATTAATTATTGATAAACCTTGCAGCTGATATTATGGCCTATTCGGAGGAGAAATAGTCTTGTTATAGTCTTGTTGAGGGGGGGGGGGGGAGGTGTATGCGTTAACCAAGGCCGTCGCCTCTAATGTGTTCTTTTGTGTGTATTGCTTGCATCTTGCGAAAATGCAAACTCGAAATTCTTGATTTGGCTGAGTTCACATCACCCTACTTAGGTATTGCGCGATCGAAACACAGCAGGGCTATTTCGTTTCTCCCAGCGAACTGACAAGCAGTTGCATCTCGGGACCCGAAATCGGTAGAGAATGGCCCATTTCAATCACCCGTTATGCAACAGCAGCATCTCGGCGCCAGCTCGGCACCGAAGGTACACGGGCCGCACCTGTGCCATAAAGCGCAGGTTAGTACCTTCCAAATTTTGCCTTTTCTCAGCCAATAGCTGCTGACACTAAAGCATAGTCGGGGAAAGAAACAGTGACAGTTTCTTATCGCTGAATCTGTGGTGGCGACGTAGAAAGCATGCTGCCTGCGCCCTCGTTCATCTCTGGCGGCAAGCAGGCGTGATTCGGCGAAGTACTTACGGTGTCACGTAAATCACAGATAAACACCACGTCATCAAATCGTTTACAGTTCACGCCTTGGTATGCGTCGCAGCATGTCGGCAGGTACTAATGCGTTTTTCCCCATGCTGCACAGTCTCGCATCATCGTCGCAACGGGAAACCCACCATAGGTTGCGTGGGAACTGGACAAAAGGGAAACATCGGCATCAGAGGCCAAGCACGAGGACTGCCTTGCCCTGCAGTTTTTAGTATCGCAATCGTAAAACCTGCATATCACTTGAATAGTCTCACACAATGATACCCCCGGGGCACAGACAGCGGCGGCACAGATAGCACGCTCCCCCCCCCCCCCCCCTTAGGATTCCCAAGGGCTCGTTCAGACCCCTTGGCATCGACGATTGAGGACCCGTTTTGAGTGCCCAAAGGCCTGACTGGGGGTCGCATTAAGGTGTCTGACGCTGCTGGCTGGGCTTACAAATATCAGTCAGAGAGCTCTTTGCATGGATTGCAGGGGACCCCTGCGTCGATGAGAACCAATCGGTCGGTTGGGCACCACCAGAATCAAACATCCGGCTCCTCGGCAGTCTAGGTCTGAAGACCCATTTCTAAAGCAACGACAAAGCCGGGGTTCCCATGTCGCCCAGGGTCCCGAAGTGCCTGACAAGGTCCCGCGTTGGGAAGCTGCCCTGAGGCCGTCAAGAGCCGTGTTTGAGGGGATCCGAAGACCTTGGGACCAAAGCTCAAGGGCCTGGGCGGAAGACAGAAGGGCCGAAGCGCTGGCTGTATGTTACGACCCACCGCTGGTAGCGCCGTGACCTCAAATATCAGTCACGACGTCTCTCCCACCGATTGGGGACCCCTAGGGCAATGTGGGCCCCTATTTCGGGAGGACATCACCAACACCGAGCAGTCGTTTTCGTGCCGGTCTGGGCCCTGAGAGCCCGCTTCCCAAGCATGGACGAAGCCGAGCCCGAGGATTGCATTGGTCTGGACCCCTGCGACGAGAAGCCCTTGTGGCGGTCAGTGTCCCACAGTGCCCAACAGTAGCTCCTCTTAGGCTTGCAGCCACAACAGCTAGCCGAGTCATCTGTCGTCTGAATGCATCGCGTCTATCTGGATGCCAATGTTGTGGTTACCAGAAAACGGCTGTGCTTCATCGTAGGATGACAATCTGGACACAACAGACATCTATTGCACATCATATATTGCATACGTGTATAAAATGTAATATATAAAAGGCATATGTAAATCATAATTCATAAAACGCATATGTAAAGCATAAGGTATAAGACGCATATGTATATTAAACGGAAATGTCCGCTAAAGCAACCCATCCATCGCCGCTGGTCAGCCGTGTCACAGCAAGTCAGGGACAACGACATGACACAACATCCGAACGCAACTACATCATGTTTGGTGCCAAAAGAAAGTAACTGTTCATCGACCCGCTATTACGTAACTATGTACACCTACGCATAATTAACCAATATGCTGCCCCCAAACACAAACGCACCCATGCTGCCATGGCATTCGCAGATCCATGACAACCTACCGACGGCTAGGGCAGGTCGTTATCACACTGCATCTGATATGGCCAGCTTAAAACAATGTAGCAATTCTCTGACTCCAAAATAAGACGGCTGAACTTTTCACTTGCCACTCAAGGCAACCTATGCTTTGGGGGAAACTACCGCTACTTGCACAGTGAACCTAGACGTGCACCCATACCCCTAACATAACTAACAGAACAGCACGTGCTGAACCACATTTCACGCACACACCACATTGCACGGGGCACCAACCAGGTGGTCCTCCCCACAACCACACAACCAATCACGTTCTTCATCAAACTGGTCCACCCCAGCCAGGAGCATCTTCCACTCAGATCGGGTGAAGCGATGTCCCAGAGATAGCAGCACATCTGGATTCGCTTTCAGCCTGCCGAGGTGGATGACATCCCAGGCCCGTACGCCCCCTTCACCGAACAGGCCTTCCTTCGATGGGTTCTTGAGAATCCAGCGTAGCATGACTGCAACAAGAGCCGGTAAGATGAATTTTGCACCATGGAAGGCGCCAGATGATAGAAGTGAACGTTACGGTGGATGAGATGACACAAAGACTAAAACAAACGAAGCAAGTAACCCATGTAAAATTGTGCAACTAGATTTACTCACTGCGTTGCAGCATTAATCTCTGATTCTTTGCAGGTAACAGTGCACTGACATGTAGCATGCGCGGGCTCCTGTTTCAATCGCTTCAAAATAGGCTGCCCTTGGGCATGGCGCCGGAAAATTATCATCGACAACATGTGGGACCTCGGACCTGTGCATATTTTTAGTACATGGTGCCCAAAGCATGACGAAAAGTGCGACTGTGTTTCATCTCATTGCCGGTTACAGTGCACCACGTCGTGACCTCTATGTTCTTCACGGCTCAATATTTCTGGTTTGAAGCCAAAGCGTATTGCATGCGTGGGAATCGTGACATGGGTCGTTTCCCATCGAATCAATGGGCCTTCGTGCCGGACGGTGTCGGGATGACATGACAATTTGCAGACGCCTTCACCAGGTCCTTCGTCGCACGTTTCTGTCCGCTGTAGGTCCCGGAGAACAAATCCTTATACGCTGAAGAAAGCGCAGCTATGTTTTAAGCTCGCAGGCGAGTGCCGGTCAACTCGAAGCCACAGATCGGCATGTAATGTTGGTAATACACTCACTGTTGACAAGCAGAGAGAGAAAGAGAGGGGTGAGAGAGAGAGAGAGAGAGAGAGAGAGAGAGAGAGAGAGAGAGAGAGAGAGAGAGAGAGAGAGAGAGAGAGAGAGAGAGAGAGAGAGAGAGAGAGAGAGAGAGAGAGAGAGAGAGAGAGAGAGAGAGAGAGAGAGAGAGAGAGAGAGAGAGAGAGGGAGAGAGAGAGAAGGCGAAAGAGCAATAGAGCGATAGAGAGAAGGCGAAAGAGCAATAGAGCGATAGAGAGAAGGCGAAAGAGCAATAGAGCGATAGAGAGAAGGCGAAAGAGCAATAGAGCGATAGAGAGAAGGCGAAAGAGCAATAGAGCGATAGAAAGCAGTAGAGAGCGATAGGGCGATAGAGAGCGATAAAGCCATAGAGCGAGGGCGAGGCCGCGAGGGCGAGAGAACGAGGGCGAGAACGTGAGAGAGTGAGGGCGGGAAAGCGAAATAGAGGTGTAAACCATCACTTGACATATAATATCCCAATTGTAAGTCGTCGCATCGCAACTATCGCAAGTGCGATGAGCCATCAACAGCGAAACTGCGTAACTTACCATTCTGCTTTTCGTGGAAAAGCAGATCTGGGAAGGTCTTCATAGTTCTCAGTTTCAGTTTTGGCAGTCCGATGACGTTGATTGCCGTACTTCCGCGTGGCCGACCCTTGTTCTTGGTGATCTTGGCAGGTTCCTTCAGATGTTCCAGTTCGGCGACATGCCCCAGTCGTCTCCGCATTCCTCGATCTGTGACATAGACAGAACCAGCACCAAAAGAGACCTGTTCGGAACTGCCAGCGAAAGGGACCTGGCGGCCCTCCTCGGCCTCACCCTGGCTAGAATTTCTATCATCTCCAGCTGCGCTCTGGATAGAAGATCCTGAGGAGACGGGGCGCGCCTTTGCAACCACACCCTGCCTGGAGCTGCCTGCGGAGGAGACGGGGCGGGTATCTCCAGCTGCGCTCTGGCTAGAAGGTCCTGAGGAGGAGACATCTCCAGCCACGCCTTGATCTGGAGCAGAGTCTGAAGGCTGTGACTCCAAGACAGTCCGACATCACGACAGTCCGACATCAAGGGCAAACTGAGTTCGGGGGATGGGCAAAAAAGTGGAAAATAACAAAAGTATTCCCCAAAACGTACTGTTATGTTGGGCGGGCTCGATTTAATCCCTAGTGGACCAAAGGCGTTTAACCAAAATTGGGTATATTAATCACAGGAGCATATAGGCATGAAGTCATCCTGACTTCGTACATCGCTTAGACCATGTTTGATACGGGTACACGGCGGCTATAATCCCCGGGTGAGGTAGCAGTCGTCAGTAACAGCAACGGCCACTAAAGAAGTGTCCACATCGTGAATAACAATGTTGACAAGGACACACTGACGTCGTGTATATCAACGACAGCGGAGGGTAGAAGAACCGGAGTTGAAGTCAAAGGGAACAGAGGGAGATGAGCCAGCTACGTCGTGAATATCAACGAGAGCTGATGGTGGAATGACCGGGGTGGCAGTCAAAGGGAGCGGAGGGAAAGGAGCCAGCCACGTCGTGAATATCAACGAGAGCTGACTAACCTTCCCCGGCGCCGCCCGGACCACCACTGACCCACCGCCGAACCCGAACCCGGGCGTGACCTACTCCCCGGCCTGTGATTGGCCGGGTCACGTGACCACGTAGCTTTGACAAGAGACGCGAAAATAAAAGGTCTTCTTACAAAATAAATGTCGCCGCTCTTGGGATGCGAACCCAATGCGAGATGCGTACACGCTCACAACGCAGGCGCGCTGAACCACTGTGCCACCAAGACGATGATCACTTTGGCAGGACAGAGGACAGCTAACCGCGTACACAACAGTACGGTAAAAAGCAGGTGCGGATCCAGAGAGCGTGGCCACGGGCATGCCCCCCCCCCCCCTTGGGCCACGAGGGGGCCCATTGGCTCCGGGCGGCCGATAGCCGGCCGAAGAGGTGCAGTTTTTTTTTAAACACAAAACGCAACACAACTGGATATCTCTGGACTTTCAGGCGACCAAGAACAGTTGTAAGCAAAAGTGAAGGGCCTATGAGAAGTCCCAAAAATTACTCAGTGATTGGAAAAGTTGTGAACTGGAAATTTTGAGCCCCATTACACCGTCTAGGACCCCATGCTGTTTCCGGTGACCTACATGTCCCTTGCAGGTCCATTTCGGTCGTTTAGGAGCATTCCACGTTATCCTTTATTTCTTTGCATTTGCTCAAAGGGCCCTGCGCTGTTGTTGGGGCCCTTCCTGTTAGCGTACCGGGGGACTCTTGTCAATCACGGGCCCTTCCACGGATTATTTCCATTCGCCAGAAAGGCTCTGTGAGCGGTAGCCAGAGTCCCATACCTTAACCTGCCGGGGTACTCTCGGTTGCCCAGGGGCCCTTTACGTGGGTATCGGTTAACCTACCGACACACTTGCAATATGCCCATGGGTCCTCCACATTGGTCTAGGACGTTTCCAATTCTCTGTCACTTGCTTAGGGCCCCACACCCTTATCGGGGGCCCATCTAATAGCATGCTTGGGCACACTCAGTCGCTGGGGGACCGTCTACACTAGGTTTTTGGTACTTCTTTTCTGAATGGGGAGCCCACGCTTTTGTGGGAATGGGGGGAAAGGCCATCTGATAACTGCTCGGGCACATTCGATCGTTCAGGGGGGCCTCTATATTGGCCTTGGGCACGTGCTATTTGAATGGGGCCCTACGCAATTGTCCGGGGCCCCCTCTGTTCGCCTCCTCGCCCACACTGGACTGCTGGTGGACCCTGCACATCGGTTCTCAGTGTTTGAATTTAGGGCCCTCTGCCCGTATCGGGGTCATCTGATAACCTGTTCAGACACACTCCATCTTTCGGGGCCCTCCGCATGGGGTTTTAAGTATTTCTTATTTGAATGGAGGGCCTTAAGCTCCTGTCGGGGCCCCAATCTGATAAGATGCTCGGGCCCATTCGATCGTGGGCGACCTCTACGTCTTGTTTTGGGTACTTCCTTTTCTAATGGAGTGCCCTCCGCTCTTTTTGGGGGCCCGATCTGTTAACCTGCTATGGCGCACTCGGTTATTCGGGGCCTTCTACATCGTGCCGCGAGTAATTCACATTTGAACGGAAGGCCCTACGCTCTTGCCGGAGCCCCAGCTGTTAACCTGCTCGGGCACACGCGAATATCCAGGAATATAATATCCACATTGTGTCTTGGGTATTTCCCATCTGTATGGAGGAACCTACGCACTTGTCGGGGAACCCCCCTGTCCGCCTGTTCGGCCACATTGGATTTTTCAGGGGCCCTATATATTGGGTCTTGGTGTTTTAATTTAGGGCCCTACACTCCTGCCTGGGTCATATGCTAATCTGCTCGGGTATACTCCATTTTTCGGGGCCCTCCGCACTGGGTTTTGAGTTCTTCTTATTTGAATGAAGGGCCCTGCGCTCTTGTCGGTCTCTTTATGATACGTTACTCGGGCGCATTACACCATTCTGGGGCCATTTACTTAAGATCTTCAGTGCTTCCCATTCGTATGGAGGGCCTTACGCTCTTGTTGGAAGCCTTATTTGTTAACCTGCTCGGGCACACTCGAGCATTCGGGGGCCCTCTACATTTGGATCTTGGGTGTTTCCTTTTTGAATGGAGAGCGCTACGCTTTTGACCGGGCCATATATATGTTTGCTTGCCCTGACAGACTGGATCATTCAAAGGTTCTCTGCAGTGGGTCTTGAATACCTCCCATTTGAATGGAGGGTCCTATGCTCTTTTTGGGAGCCTTATCTGTTAACCTGCTCGGGCACACTCGATCATTCAGGGGCCCTCTACATTGGGTCTTGAATACTTACTATTTGAATGGAGGGCTCCAAGCTCTTGACGGGGCCATATATGCTAACCTGCTTTGGCGCACTCGATCGTTCAGAGCGCTACACATTGCGTCGTGAGTATTTCTTATTTGAATGGATGGCCGTATGTTCTTAGCGGGCCCTATTTATTCAGCTGCTCGGGCCGGTGGCGGGTGCGGAGGGTGGGGATGGGGGCACAGGTTCATGTCCCATGGACCATGCCGAGGAAACCTAAGGGCTCCGAAGGGGCCCATAACCGGCTGGACGGACGCAGTTTCCTTAAAACAAAAGCGCAACAAAACTGGATGCATTTGGGCCTACAGATGACCAAGAACCATTGCTAGCAAAAGTAAAAAGTTCATAAGCAAACGAAGTTCCTTATTCGCTGATTGAGAGAGTGTTACTTGGGGGAAATTTTGGGGCTGATTACGCTGTCTAGAGGCATTACGCTGTTGGTCGCCTGTCCCTATAAGTCCACTTGCTGCGTCAATCAAATCGCTAAGGAGCTTTCCACGTTACCCTCGATCTCTTCCCATTCTTTCTTAGGGCCCAATGTGCTGTTGGGACGCTATCTGCCTCCATGTTGACCACTGTTGATCAATCGGGTTTTCCTCCACGGATTCTACCCATTCACCCGAAAGGCTACATACACTTTTCCGATGCCGCATATTCCAGAGTACATTCAGTTGCTCAGGGGTCCTTCATATAAGTCTTAGGTACTTTCTTCTTGCTTGAAGGGCCCTCTGCCGTTGCTAGGGCTCTTATAAGGTAAGGCACGGGGACGCTCGATGCTCAGGGGCCTTCTATTCCGTTCGAGGGCTACTTCCCTTTGGTCTCATTTGCGGCTGACTTTTCACTCCTATCGAGACTCGTGTCGTTAACCTGCCCGTGCACTCATGATTGCACAGGGGTATTCAGTAATAGTCTTGAATAATTTCCCTTTCCTCGGAGGGTCCTGTGCTATGACCGGGGCTTCATAGGTCAGCCTGTCGAGGCACTACCGATCGTTTAGGTTCCCACCACGTTGGCCTTGAGCTCTTTTTGCTTGCTCTGAGGACCCTATACTTGTTGACGGAAGCCACTGTGTTGGTCTCCTGCGGCACCCATGACTGCTCAGGTTCCTTCCCTATTGGCCTTGGTGCCTTCTCCTTTGAGCAGCAGTCCAATACGCGCCGATGAATTTTTACGCGCAATTGCCGAACGTAATTCTGCATGCCTCTGCCGTCGTATGCGTCATTTCCATTGGCTATTCAGTGTGTCACACTCAGTTAGATTTACCGTGAACCTTCACGGGACCCTCAATATCTCTGTAGGGTGTGGAATCCCTCCCCCTAGCATTAGAAACTACGGTGCTGTCTGATATGAAAAGCCCCTTTTTAGAATTTATTCCGCTTAGAAGTGGAGCGAGTCGGCATCATCACGCCGCGCCGGTAGACCACGAAGCCACCCACTTAGCAGCGGCTACCGTCGAGATTCGAACCCGGCCTTACCGCGTGAGAGACCAGCACTCCAACCATCCATCCACTGGAGATGCGGACCCAGCGTCCGAAAATTTGTGATCGGAATATAAATGATTCACTGAGTTGACGGGTTTCCTGATTGTTGTATACACGCTCAGTGCGGAACGATGGGAGTTTATTGGCCGGGCAGGCCTTCAGGCACAATGCGATACACGTGGCTTGGCGCGTTGCAATCCACTCGTGAGTTGGTTATATTTCCAAACGGCGCAGCGGAACATGTTGAAACACCGCCGTAATTCGCTGCGCTACAGTACCAGAACTCCTCCCTTCTTGCTAAAAACTAGCTTAACGGCACATACTATAAGTCCAGGCGCTCTGGCGTGCGCTGGATGCGTACCGGACGAGCAGGTGGCGGAACCAGACCGGCTGTTTCCGTCGTTCACG